GTTTCAATATGTCTACTATTTGATTAGCTTAATAGGTCGAATACAAAACAATGGAAACATTTAAAGAATTTAAAAATACCATTGTATTATTCGCAACTCGATAAAATAATTAAAAAATGATAGAAATGTTTATTCAGCTTCCTTGTATCGCAATTAATGCGGGCAACTTTTATTTTGTATAAAAATTCCGCAGTCTGCTGATGACAAATTTAAACTAAATTTCCTAATTAGTCGAGGCAGGACATTGAAATATTAATCATTTAATGGAAAATAGTCAGAAGAGACATGTTCAAAATAGAAAATAGTCATTTAATGAAGAAATAAAATCGTCCGATCTATTTTAAACCGAGTAAAACCACAAATTGATCCTGGACGCATTTCGACCCGCTAAAATCGCGATCGGCACCGTTGCGCGTCGCGCGAGGAGCTAAAAGATAAAGGAACGTGGAGCGGTACGGGGTCGCCAGGTGGTTTTCGTAGGTGAGCTGGCATTGAGAGGAGTCGGCATAGTGTTCCTCTCGCCTGGTTCTCACTCTCCGCACTCGCCGCAACGCGGTCGGAGTCCGGCAGTCTGCTACGTTTCACAAATCTGTTGCAACTCCACCGGTTCGATCGGCAGGACTCGCATCGCGATTCGGTTCGATTCGACTCCATTGGGTTCGCGTCGCGTCGGTTTCTAACCACGGTTCGCGAGAAACACCGATCGGTGGATTCATCGGGGACCAATGTGCCTCGAGGAGAAGCTGCCGGTACAGAAAAGCGGTCGTGCGACGCGGGAAAGTTTGAGTGCCATGAGAAAGTGCAGTAAGTAGGATGCACGCGCCGAAAATGTGTGACCGCGAAAAGTTCGTGCGGTATTCGTGCCGCGCGGTTTGCTTTTCGACCGTACGAAATTCGAACCAGCGTTTTCGTTTCGAATTTGCTGCGAGTGATTTTTCACGATCTCCAGAGGAGTCTCTTCCGGTTAAAAAATTGAACAATGTTTTGTCCGGGATGCAACATTGATTTGCATTTGTTGTTGACTACGGATTTTACTCATACAATAAGATGGAAAACACAGTGAAAACGTTTAAAAAATTTAAAAATGCCATTGTATTACTCGCAATTCGATAAAGTAATTAAAAAATGATAGAAATGTTTGAGCAGACAACTTTTATCCTGCTTAAAAGTCCACAGTCTACTAATAACAAATTTAAACTCCTATTAAAAGCCTTTGCGAATTCAAATATATAATAAATATTCATGCAATCAAATTTAATATTTTCCTCAAATTTATAATACATTTTACAATTATGTTTCAATGTATAATCAAAATTTGTGTCTCA